AGTTGGCGTTTACGGACGGGTGTTGCAAGCTCTGGCGATGGTTTGGTTGAAGATGGAGGTGGCCTCACTTGGTGTGAGCTTGCTGAAGGCCACAAGCTCTTGTGCGTGGAGAAGAGCAGACCCAGCCTCTGCTCGGCCCCGGCTGCCACCACGCAGTGGTGCGGACAGCAGAGCGGGCTGAAGCGATGCTGGGAGGTGGATTTGTGGTTCCTGCTCAGGTTTCTGGTGTTTGCGGGGTTTAGGATGGAGCAGAGAGGTTTTGGGAGGTGTTCAGGGCTGCATAGTGGGGGTTCTCAACCCCCCGCAGCCAGTCGAAATCCAGGTTATTTGCAACAGCACAGCCTATACCCAGCGGGACAGGGAAATACCTGCCCTGCCCCGGCAGCGGCAGCAGCAGCAATTAAAGCTGTATTAATCACTAGAGATGGAAGGGGTAACGTCCACTTAATTGAACGTAAAGAAGGGCTGCGGTTCCCCGGGGAGGCTCCGGGGCGATCGATCGTAGCTGGAAGCTGCGCGTTGCTGCATCCTGGGGGTGGGATGCGGCTGTGCCGGGTCCGTGGAGCTCCGGTGCTGGGTACCGGTTGTCTCTGGCACTGTGTGGGCAGGATGCGTCACCTCTGGGGAAGCTGAGGCACAGGAAAACGGTCTCACAACCCTCATCACGTGCTCAGAGATGTGTGGGCGATGGTGAGGGCATCTCCCAGGGCTCCCAGCTGCCCTGGGAAGGGCAAGGAAGGGCAGAGGCAGCTCCTCCGTCCCCCTGCGTGGTTGCTGTGCCGAGGGCTCGGGCGACGCCGGTTCAAAGAGCCGTGGCTCTGGCCGAGATCAGAGGGACAAGGCCCCGCTGGTGGCTGAGTGCTTCCAGGAAAGGTCTGCACTTCACCTGATTACGGGCTGGCAGGCGGCCTGCGCCTCCGACAGCGCATGGAGCGACGGCAGCACGAGAAGGAGGTGGATATGCTCCCGTCTTCCCTCCTCACCACCTGAAACAGGCCCCGGGCACCAGCAGGGAGCCGGAGGAGGGTGGATTTGATCAGGCTCATTTTCGGCTTTGGGCTCGCTACTGGAGGCTGGGGAGCAGCGCCTGGCTCACCTGCAGCCTCCCCATGGGGGGTTGCTGCTGTGGTTGTGCCTGAGCAAGGACCTGCATGAGCGGAGGGGCAAAGTCAAAAAGGAAGGGCAGCCAAGGGTGGCTGGAAATGGGGCAGAGCGAAGCATCCTCTGTGTCCGTGCGCTCTCTGGGCCCTGCTCCCCTTCTCTGCGTAGGGAGGGGGCAGGGGAAATCCCTGTGGGTTTTCTTTGCAAGCCGCTGTTGTGTTGTGAAAGAGCCCCTGAAGGAATAGCTGAAATAAATACCCCAGAGCCCAGGAAGAGCCGGGAAGCACCTCAGAGCGTGGATTTTAATGCTGCTGAGCCGTTGCTGTGCGTGGAGCTGGCCTGGGCTCAACACCGGCAGCAGGAGCAGATGAATCCTCCAGTCCCATGAGTTTGATCCCTAGAAAAAAATCACATTTACCCCATGAGAACCCCAGTGAGACACCACTGGGGAGCAGCGTGGCAGGGTGATTTCTGCTTGCTCTTCTGGTTGTGCCTGGCCGAGGAGGTGGACACCAGGCGTTGGTGTCTCTTTATCAACAGACTCTGATTATTTAATACCTGACGTAGGGGTGCGGGAACGGCTCCGTAGCAATGACGCCAGAGGAGAGAAGGCAGCGCCTCCACACAGCCGTGCCCATAAGGCGCTGGGTATTAAAGCCTTAGAGAAAGGCATCTGTAACGGAAAGATCTATGGACATGACAGGGTGCTGAGCCACCAGGAAGGCATCTCAAAATACCACTTTATAAAGCGCAGCACCAGCCCGGGCTCTTGCTGGTGCAGCTGCAGTTCCCAGGAGCAGTTTTCCATCCCAGATTCCTTCATCTGAGCTCTGCGTGGCATCTCCTGCAGTGCCCAGGGTCCTGCCTGGCCCAGGTTGGGGGCTTTTGGGTGTAGCCTCTCCCCATCCCCACACTGGGGTCTGCCCAGCCCGGCTGCCCGCACCCATGGCTCTGCCTGCACCCAAAACTCTGCGCCTGCAGCTCAATCCCTCACACAAAAGAGCAGCAAAGTCAGGGCCTGCCCTTGAGTCTGCGTGGCATCTCCTGCAGTGCCCAGGGTCCTGCCTGGCCCAGGTTGGGGGCTTTTGGGTGTAGCCTCTCCCCATCCCCACACTGGGGTCTGCCCAGCCCGGCTGCCCGCACCCATGGCTCTGCCTGCACCCAAAGCTCTGCGCCTGCAGCTCAATGCCTCACACAAAAGAGCAGCAAAGTCAGGGCCTGCCCTTGAGCCCAGCGGGGCCCGAGCTCTGCTGAGCCCTGCCTGGGGAGCGGGGCTGGAGCCAGCACTGGCTGCTCCCCCACCCCAGCTCATAGCCAAACCTTCCCCCTGGTAGCCAAACCTCCTCTGTGCACCCTGCTCGGCTCGAAACGCATCTCCCTGCAGGGCTCGGCCTCCTGGTTCCTGCCTGGGCCTTGTCTCGCAGTGCCCAATATAAACACCCCGTGATTGAATAAACTGGCTCCGTAACCACCGCTACAGCCGAAACCTGCGGGGAAGGTGGGGCCTGTGGCCCTGGCTGGGGCTGCAAGAGGGCAGGGAGGCTTTGAGCTGCGCCGCTGCCGTTTGCTCGCCCAAAAGGAAAGGGGGACGCGGGGCTGGACACGGCCTTTGGTGGCTTTGGCCAAGGAACCCAGGACTTGCTCCACGTTTCACCAAAAACCTCGCTTTTCCTTGGCTTTGAGAAGATGCTGCTGGGAAATAAGGGGGAAGAAAAGCAGCCGAGCCAGAGCCGCTGTTTCCCACATGTGAGGAGTCTCATTTTCCTCCCCTCCGAGGATGGGACCTGCAGGCCGGGATGGCAACGACTCCCTCCCCATTGCTGGAGGCAAACCCAACCTGCTCCGAGAGCCAGGAGCTACCGCGGGTGAGAAGAACCCACCAGAAGAGGCTGTTTCGGTTCCTTGGCACGCTTAATCTTTCAAAAATAATAATAAAAGAAGCCATGAAACAACTGCTCGTACAGTGAATAAGCCGTTTTATTTTTGTCCTGTGCTCACACAATCTCTCTTCTTTCCCTGACAGGTCACAGATCATTCAAATAAAAAGTTTCTAAGAGGAAAATAATTTAAAACATACGCGCAGGGCTCCCTTCCAACCTCCCCACACCCACATCAGCTCCACCACTTGTGCTTCGTCTCATGCGTAAGTAAAGCCACTGAATCTCAGGAGTCGGGGATGGGAGAGCCCAAGGGTTGGGGGGGGCTCGGTGAGTCCCTTGCTGAGCACCCCAAAAATCCAACTCCTTCCCCACAGCCTGGAAAAAAAAAACGCACCCACGGGCAGCAGCTCCAGGCCTCCCTCCTGCATTCCCAGGTTTCCTTCCCTTGCGTTGCCACCCCAAGTCATCCCTCGCAGGCGCCGCCCTCACCCCGTATCCCATGCACAGGACTGGCTAGGAAAAGCCTTTTTTTTTGTGGTTTTTTTTCTTCTTTTTCTTTTTTTTTTTTCCTGGTTTTTTGTTTTTCTCAGCTTTTTTCAGTTGCTGGTAAAGTCAGTACACTCCCAGCTGTGCTATATTGTAAATACAGCTTCTAGGATGGTCTCCGTGGCGGAGACCGACAGTGATCAAGGCACTACCCCCACCCCCCTCCTGAAAACAAAGGAAGTCAGACCAACACCTAGGGACAGAAGAGAATCCTATAATGTGATCGCACGGTTACACGGAGGCTTTATGGCAAAGAGAACATTTAGCAGCTTTGAACGTTTGGGCTTCTTCTCCCTTTTTTTTTTTTGTTTTTTTACTCAACACAAGCACTCTAGACCCTATAGGGGAAAAAAAAAAAACACAACAAAAAAACCAGGGCTGAAGCCCTAAAATAAAACAAAACAAAACCAAAACCAAAGCGCGGTTAAGAAACAGGAATCCTAACGGCTCTATAAGTGACAAACCCACGGCCTGGGGTGGGAACCCTCCGCTCCCCTTGTGCTGTACGTGGCCATGGAGGGGGGTGTCCCAGGAGCCTCCCTGCCTTTTTAACCCCCCCCGAGCATTCCCCAGCCAGGCAGAGGGAGAGGACAGCGGTTGCATGCAGGCTGCTGCGTGCGCCCCAGCACGGCGCTGGCTCGGCGGCAGTGACGTGCTCTGAGTGCGGCGGGGGGGACAACGCGCATGGCATCGGTTCCATTAACCCTCTCCAGATTCCCCCCCCTCTTCTCCCTCCCCAAAATGTAACCCTAAAGCTCTTTGTGCCCCCTCTCCTCCCCGAGGCGCCGCAGCTCCGGATGGAGGGTAACAGCGCTCCTCGGCCTGGAAAGGGTTAATGGGAGTCGCACCACTTTTGTGTTTCCACGCGTGCGCCGCCGGTCTGATCTAGGAAGGGATGTCGGTTAATCTGGAATTGAGTCGGGTTGGATCACACACACCGATGTCAAAACTGGTTTCAGGAAACAAACGGAAAAAAAAAACTGGAAACAAAAAAAAAATGAAAAGAAAAGAAACCAAACCCCAACTACCTGAAATCACAGAACTTTGGAAGTTCAGAAAAATGTCTCTCCTATAACTTGTTTGAAGTTCATTTGCTTAAATCTCTTTTTTCTTACTTAAAGCCAGTTCCTAACAGTAGTTGTTTGTTTTTTTTCCACCTCTGCCAACCTCAGCTCGGCTCCTGCGCTCAAAGGGTTCGGGTGGTGGAAGGCGCCGGGTTCGCCAGTGCAGGGTCCGCTCGTCCCCCGTCCCTCCCCGCAGGGAGCCCCCCAAGCTCAGCCCGCAGCGCCCGCAGCCTCTCCCGCGCACTGACCGGCAGCAGTCACGTTTGTGGTATTTTTTGTGGTTTTTTGAGAAGATATATCGGATAAGAAGGCATGAAAGTCCCTCCAAGTACTTCCAGGCTCAGCCCTTCTCCAGTTCTCACTGTGAACAGAGTGTCCCGCTCCTCCCGCGTCACCGTCCCCATCCCCTTCACTTCCTCCGGTCCTTCTGTTTGCGCTCCGGCCGCCTCACCTGCTGGTCCGCCACGGCGCGGGGTATCAAAATGACGCTGCCGTCGCCGGCGTACCGCAGCTGGGGGAGTAGGGCTGGCCGTTCTCGTCCCGCAGACGGCCGAACACCTCCTGGTAGAGGTTCTGCACCTTTTGCTTCATCTGGCGGATGGATTTGAGGAACTCCACCTTCTCCCTGAGCAGTTTGGACTTGTCCCGTTGCAAGTCCTCGACGTCCCGTTCCAAGTTGAGGATGGTGTCCAGTTTCCTCTTGCGGCAGTTTTGGGCTGCCATCTTGTTCTTCCCCCGTCGCCGAATATCGCGGATGAGGCTCAGCTGCGCCTCGCTGAGCTGGTACTTGGAGAGGAGCTCGTTGAACTCCTCCACGGGCAGGTTGATGATCTTGTCGTTGGTGAAAGGGATCTTCATGGCTCTGGCTCGATGCTCGTCCCTGCTCATCTGCTTATCCAGGAACTCGGACGGCTTCTCCTTGCTGCTCTTCTTCCCCGCGCTGGGCAGTTTGGGCTCCTCGGGGTCCAGGGCCCCCGGGGCCATGTTGTAGGTGTGGTTGTGGCCAACGTGCTCCAGGTAAGGCAAGTAATGGAGCTGCGACGGGTCCTGGTAGCTCATGCGGCAGAACTTGCTGTACTCTGGCTGGTATCCAACCGCCCCTTCCGCGTCTTCAAAGTCCACGTTTTCGGAGTCTGAGCTGTAGCCGACAGCTCCTTCCTCAGAAAACGAGGAGGAGGAAGACGACGAGGAGGAAGAGGAGGAGGAGGAAGCTTCCGAGCTGCTCAGAGAAGCGGGGCTGTGACCGGAATCCAGAGAAAGACCTGAGTCGGAGTCGAACTCCTCTTCCAGCTGCGAGGCCTGCACCGGGTTGAAGCCCTCTTCAATCGCCAAGTCCATCAAGCTGATCTCGTCAAGCATGGCTTCGTCCAGGAGCCCTCCCAGCGGGTCGGGCAGCTCAGGGCCGGCCGTCTCGTTGACGGTGCTGTTCAGCTGCGGAGGGAAGAAGATGCCGCTCAAGTTGGTGGAGCCGAAGGTGGTGTTGAGGCCGGTGGAGTTGTCTGGCGCCAGCTGGAGCAGGGCTGAGCTGCCGGCCATGGAGGGGCTTTCGATTTCTGAGCTGAAGAGGGAGAAGTCCTGGGAGCAGCTCCCCAGCGAGGCCTGATGCAGGCTGACATTCTGATTGATGGGGGTGTTGGGGGCGAGGCTGTAGTTAGAAGTCAGCAGGTCTCCGCTCGTGCCGTTGTACAGGGTTTCCGCAGTCGTGTTGTTCACTTCCATAGCCTGGAAGAGATGCGAGACCGCTCGGTAAATGAGCCGTGCTCGAGCCCTGCCTTTCCTCAGTGCCCTTCGCCAAAAACACAGTGGACAACGCTTCTGGATCCCAGGGAAGGAGCTCTCTCTGTGGCCCAGCATCCTCCACCAGCTGCAGGAGGGTTCAGACAGGTTCTGGGAGGAAACCAAAGCAGCTGCGACCGACCCCAGACCACAACTATCCAGGATTCAGGTGCTTGGTGCAGCCACCGAAGCTAAAACGCATGCCTGGAGGGGCAAACACCATCTCCCACAACCCACTCGTGAGCTCACCTGCATCTCCATGATAGACATGAGGTCCTGCCACTGCTGCTCCAGATCAAAGGGCGACTCGGGCTCGGTGAGGAGAGGGGAGAGCAGGCTGGTCTGGATGCCCGCGGGCCGGCTCTCGCCGGGCACGGCTTCGCTCAGGGTGGAGACATCCGCAGCTGGAAACTGACCACGTGAGGCAGAGTCAGTGCCCGGCGGAGCAGCCAAGGAGCCCCAGCGCCCGTCCACCTCCACACCGCCAATCGCTTCCCCTTTGTTCAAAGTAAACTGGTTGCAGTTATTCCTCCACAGTTCACTATGAACTCATTAGAAGCGAAGCCAGAAGTCTTTAATTAATTGTGACCACCCCCCCCCACACGCATGCTGCTAGTTTCGCAGGAACGCTGCCTGCAGCCTCCTTAAGCAGGTTAACCCAATTTACTGCCGGTTCTGCAGTCTGGGGTAGGGGTCCAAGAGGCATCGAAACCCTGGTGCGCAAGCGAAGGAGAGGCACCGCTGCCTCTGCCATCGCCCCATCCACTCACCTCCGAATTCTCCCCGAAAGGGAAGGTGGCCTCCAGCAGCCTAAGGCACTCCTCCAGGGACAGGGCTGTCTGATCCTCCGCACCGGGCACCTGATGTAAAACACAAGCAATCGTAGCCTCGGGATTAGGGAGGTGGTGATGAGAAACCAGCTCCTTACAGCAGAGCTTTATTACAGCGCATCCAAAAAAGAGCCAGAGGCCCCACCCAGTGCTTCGCAGACTCCATCCTCCTGCTCCGGTAGAGCCTCAGAGGGGAAAGGAAACGTGCAGCCTCCGCGACCGCCAGCGCAAGGCTGGAGGGGACTCTG